AATGGCGCGCACCGGCCGGGGTCGCCCCTGCCGCTGGTGAGACTAGCTTGGCTGTCCACCCATCTCCCATCCAGCCTGCTACCCTCCATCCCTCACCCCTCACTTTATAACGGAAAATGAAGCCGTTATGAGTCCGTCTGGCTAGATACAGGCTGAAGGCACACACTCACCTACATGGGAGTCATAGAGGCCACCAGAAACCAGGCCTTTCTTCGTCCAGAAGTTCCAGGCTGCGGAGGGATAGCCGCCATTGCAACTAAGGAAAAAGCTGCTTGTTAAGTTTGCTGGTAGGAGTTCCAGGCACTCCCTAGATACTGCCTGGTACCCACGGGCCCAAAGTCGCTGCTGGGTCCACCTGTGCCCTCAGCAACTGGCATGACGGCCCCCCAGGTCTGCCACAGATACTCCCTCCTTCCAGGGAAGCAGCTAAGCCCCCATCCCTGCCCACAAAGATCGGGGCAGAAGGGACTCTCACACTCACGCCCATGGCCGAACCAGGCAAATGTGCCTTCCTTCTGGAGCAGGGATCCTCCACGGAGCAGCAGGTTATAGTTCTCTGAGGGTCTTAACAAAACCCACCAATGCCCGCGATTCTGATGTAACAGGCTAGTTGAGGCCCCTGGTGTGCGTACACGTACGTGTGTGTGTTTATATATATATTTTTAAATGCACACACATTTCTAACCTGCAGCCCGAGCTGGGCACTTGATGGAGAACCAGGGCCAGTCTTTAGCTTTAGTTCTGCGTGAACTAAATTACCAACAGGGAAACAGGCCCTGGGGTGATGACACTGCCCAACAGGAGAAAGGAACAAGTGACAACAAAAACCAGAGCAGGGGTCAGAAATTTAACTGAATTTCTTGAGACCACCTACTTTGCCAGGGCCCCGCCGCCCACAGCTCTGACTTCAGCCACCACGCCAGACCCCTCCTCTGTCTCTCACGAGGTCTGAGACAAGAGAACACCTTCCAACTGGAAGGAGACCTCCACATCATTCTGCACTGAGAGGCATGGGCTGAGGGGGCCAGAGCCGAACCCGCAGTGAAGGTGTGGCCTCAGACTCACCCTTCCCCACACTGGCCTCCACAGCAGGTGAGCATGTCCTCCGCAGACACCTCCACGTTGACGTGCCCGTTGGTGTGGATGCAGATCCGGTCAGAAATGGACTCCACAGCCCCAAATGCCTATGGCAACAAGCCCCACCCGGGTGAGGCCACCACTCCCGGGCTGTGGCCATCACTTTGAAGGACCAGAGCAAGCATCTCAGTCCTCCTGGGTGACTCGTCTCTCTCAATACCAGGTGAGGCCCCAGGGGGTCACACCTAGATTTAAAGCAAGAGCCCGATCCATCTAGAACCTTTCCCGGGAACTCGGCTCATTTCTGAAACTTGTTTTATTAAACCTAAAATCTCTGGCTGCTCAGAAGGCGACTACTATGAGTCCACATATACAAGGTCCCTAGAATAGTCGAGCTCATACAGACAACAAGGAGAACGGGGTTGCCGTGGGCTGGGGGAGGAGGTTAAAGTTAGTGTTGAATGGGAACAGAGTTCCACCCCTGGAAATGGTTGATGGCAATGGAGCCCCAACACTGTGAATGTACTTGATGCCACTGAACTGCTGGGTAGATTTTCTGTTAGAAGAACTTTACTACAATTAATAGGCAAAACTAAGGGGCCAGCAGTGGGGTAGAGGTTAAGGCACTGGATCCCACAGGGCTGACTGCACAGTTTGAGTCCCAGACTAGCAGCATGAAAATCATGCTGGGTGAATATGCATGTGTGCCCAAAATCCTGAGAGGGGACTGGAGGCGAAGGCATTGCAGAGTGCTATCCCTTGAGGGTGATTTCTCAATTTTCCTCTCTCTGGTGAGTGCATATACTGTAAAACAAAACTAAAAACAAAAACAAAATTAAGGGTCAGCCTTTGTAGTGCAGTGATTAAACACTGTGTATTGGGAGTCGGGTCCCACATGGCCAACCCGTGTGTGAGTCCCAGTCCTGGTGGCTTGAAGAGCATGCCAGGTGTATATATATATGTGTGCTCAAAATCCTGATGGGATGAAAAAATGAAGGAGGAAGGATTGTGGAGTGACCACACCCCATTGGAGGAGCTTTCTCCCTCTCTCTGTCTTTCTCTGGCAAGCGTGTGTGACCTCTGACAACAAAAAAATTTAAGGTAGTTCATCGATATAAACGAGACACTTCCACGAAGCAGGCAGTGATTGGAGCTACTGGCATTTATTAATGCGAAAATGTGTCAGAAAAAGGAAACAGGCTTCACAACCCACAGACACAGGACTTAGAACCCCCCGGGCCACACCTAGGACTCCCTGATCCTTGCAATAAGCAATGACCATATGGGTCATCATAATTTTGATACTGATGGCGATTGAGACTCTGTAATTTGCCTTGTCACAGCTGCACAGATCACTACTCCACCTGCTCCCTCTTCCCCCAGTCCCTCCCCTGACCACCCAGGCCTTACCCAGCAAGAGCCGCAGGAACCCTGGTCTCGGATCTCTTTGATGGTCGGACAGCTGGACCACTGTTCCCGTGCATCAAAGCTTTCAGGCAGATTCATGTCCTCGGCAAACTTAATTCTAAATAAAGGGAAATCTCCATTATAAGTGCTCATCTTACAACTCACTCCTCCATCCCTACAAGGGCTGCTGGTGTCAGAGCAGCTTAGTCTGGACCAGCCACCTGACCCGGAAAGGAGTGAGGTTCAAGACACAGAGGCCTGCAGGCACACTTCCCTTGGGATTTTATAAAACAAAACCCAGTCCTAACGCGCAGTGGAATATCGCATTCTGTGGGCTTCTTTCCAGACTTATTTAATACGTATTTTCGAGAGGTGTATCCACAAAGCCCAGACTGTGTCTCTTGTTTCCCCACCGACGTCCCCCAACCATAAACATCTGCCCGGGTTCCTCATACCACCTTTGACATCTCCGCCATTGGACACAGATGGTGGTGTCCTGTGACCTAACTGAACCCTTCTATGACATTTCTAATGCTTGTTAAAAGGGCCATACCTACATGTAAATATCCATTATGGAATTTTCTAGAAAAATAAAACTTTAAGGGCAGATTATATGGTTTTTCTTAATTTCTTCCTAAATTGCTCAAGATTGAGTCCAGCCAGAAATCAGAGACCCAGGCTTAGTCTCACATCCAGAGCCTCCTGCCAGGACTCAGACACTCTGGAGCAACAGACACAAAACACCGGAAGTTGGGGTGCCTGAACCTCGAGTGTCTCTGCAGCTCTGGAGGAAGTGAGGCCTACGGCTGCCAGGGAGCCATGTCCTCCAGAAGCCAGCACTTACCTATGGGGCAGCTTGGGCCCGCCAAGGAAGGTGCCACACAGTTTCCTCACGTAGCTCATGTCCGCGTTGCGGAAGTTGTGTCCAGCCTGGAAGAGAGCCACGTTCCTCAGAAAGGGGTAGGTGGACATGCTGCCCCCACACAAGCCTGGCACTGGGAAGGTTAGGGGCCCCACCCAACTCAGAGGAGCAAAGGGGCTGGGGGACCCTGCAGTGCAGGCAGGGTGTGTGTTCATGCGTGTGTGCACACGTGCACACGCAGCGCAGTGACATCTAGGTAGAGAGCTGCTCTTGGCCAATGGAGGGGCCAGTGGTGTGTTTTCTGGTCTGCTACCATGTGCTGCCGACCAGAGACCCGTCCCAGCCCCTGAACACGGTTCATTCCTCACTCCATGGCTACCACAGTCCCAGCTTCAAGGCTGGACAGAAATGAGGAGGTGCAGTTTTGAGGGACCACCACATCTACCACAACTGGTGTCACAGGGCCGTGATTGCAGACACTGTGGAGGCTCATTCGTCCCCCTCACACCCACACGTCCACGCAGACGCACACCCCCCCACACACACACACACAGTGCATGGGCAAGGAGGAGGTGGGTGTCCTTAGGGACCCAGCCCGGGCCAACTCTCCTGGGGGTCAGTGCACAGACCGCCCCCTGCAGCTCACCTGCCATGTAGTGTTCTGTTTGTTGATGTAGTTGACCAGGTCGTCCGACAAGGGGTGGAAATAAGGCCTGTTTCGGGCACTGGTCAGAGCCAGCAGGCAGCAGAGGGGCAGGAAGAGCCGCCACATGTTGGAGCTGGGTCCTGGGCCTGCCTGGGAAGGACAGGGTGGGAGACATCAGGACAGGAGACATCAGGGCGCTCCACTCGGGGCAAGCACTTAGCATGTACAGGGTCACTGTCTCAGGCGTGGACGGACCCTGCCTTGCTGCAGGCTCTGCTATCTGCCCCTTTCCTGGGGAGCCTGGTGATGGCAGAGGACTCCCCAAGACCTGTGGTGTCTGTGGGCTCTGGCCTCATCTCCACGTCCTCACCTGTGCCCAGAGCACACACGTCCCCACAGAGCCAGGAGAGGGAGCGCCACAGGGCTGTGTTATGAGTAAAGGGATCCAAGGCCTTCTCCATTCTTTGTTCCTTAGGTTTATTTATGTATTTCTTCCATAAGCCAGTGAGACAGAGAGACAGAGACAGCACCCCGCATAGGTCTTGATACTGCCATCACCCCTGGGTCCCAAGCACGCACCGCCAGGTACACTCAGGGCGATCCCTGAGCACAAACCTGGAGCCCTCCCATGTAGGTCACTTTGCAGGGCGTTGCCTTGACCGTCGCCCCTCGGCAGCCTCCTGTCCACCCTACCTATGCTGTCTTTGCCTGGGTTTGTACAGTTTGACAGACTGTAATCAGAAAGAGTAATGGGAGCCAGCTGGTGGTGTGGTTGTTAGGGCAACTGAGTCCCACGTGGCTGACAGCTCAGTTCAAGTCTCAGACCCAGCAGCTTGAAAAATACTCTGGGCACATGTGTGTGTTTACCCAAAATCCTGAAAGGAGGGAGAGCTGGAGGAGAAAAGATTGTAGCAGGACCATGACCCAGGGGGGAGGAAGGGGGACCTTCCTCTTTTCTCGCTGTCTCTCTGTTGAAAGTGCATGTGCCATCTGGCAAATTTTTAAAAATTATTTATTAAATTTTATTTATTCATTCTTTTTTTTTTTTGGGAGAGGTTTTTGCTATAGGGCGCGTGCGCTCGCCAGACAGACAGAGAGAGACAGAGAGATAGAAAGCGAGAAATCACCCCCCAGGGGGGATGGCCACGCCGCAATCGCTTCTACTCCATTCTCCTCTTGGGATCTTGGGCACGCACACACATGCGCCCGGTGTGAGTTTAAACTCGAACCGCGGTCGACTACGTGGGAGTCCAGCGACATAGCCATTATGCTAACTGCTGGTCCCTTCATTCATTTATTTTTAATTTGACAGAGAAACAGAAAGAGGGGAAGTGAGAAAGCAAGCTACCATGTCCAGGACTTGAACCGTGGTCAGCCATGTGGGAGTGTCCAGCACCTTAACCACCATGCCACCCGCTGGCCCCCCATCTGGCAAATTTTAAAAAGAAAAATAAAAAAGAGTAAATGGTACCTCTGAGTGAATATGACCCAAGGGAAGACCAATGAGACAGGAAAAGCTAAGAGACGGTGAGACTCATGAAGCCCCTCCATCGCCACAGCCTGAGCTCAGCACAGGCCTCAAAGGTGAGGCCTTTGCGCTGGTCTGGCCAGAGGCACCAGCCTTCTGGGATCCCCTCTGGTTTTTCCAGTCCACCCACTCAACTTCTAGCTTCAGAGATGGGGCTTCCAAGAAGGAAATACACGTTAACACCGGGCCCTTTGATGTCACCTGGCTGCAGTCAACCCGGAGACCAGCACTTTCAGTCAACCCATGAATCACTCTCAGGCAAGCAGCCTGAACAAAGGTGAGAAGAGCTTCCTGGGTGCCCACACCAGGGCCTGTCGAGACAGCCACAGAGCACCGTGGGCGAGTCACAGGGAACCTGTTCTTGCCTGCTAGGGCTTCCACAAGCTTGTGGGTTCCACCTCCTCCCAGGTCACTGTGTGGTGAGGGTCACATGACGTAGGTGTCAGCCCTTAACACACTGCCTCATGCATGGCACATTCTATTTAAAGGACAATTTTCACTTACTTGTTGCTTAGGCTGAAGCAACAATTCATCTGGAAGAATAAATATGTGAGGACAGCAAGATCGTTCTAGAAAAGAAGTCTGGTGGAAATCAGGCCCTCTAGGGTGGCAAATGTATTACAAAATGCTGGACGAGCCTGTTCCAGGAACAACCCCATCAACAAACACATCGCTCTAAGCACACCTTCCATGTAGCCATTCAGTGGGTGTGGGCAAGGCCAGAGGCAGATGACACATTTCAGCAAAAGGCACTGTCACAAGTGGCTGTCCTTTTGGGGGGAAAAAAGCCTGCATCTTTACAGTTGAGTCTTTGCACATAAAAAATGCCACCTGCAATAAAGATCTGAAAGAGAAGTTTCAGGAAGAAAATCAATGCACTATAAAACCTGTAATATTGGAGGCCAGCAGGTGGTGTGGATGTTAAGGCACTGGATCCCACAAGACCGACTCTAAGGTTCAAGTCCTGGACCTGGTTGCCTGAAAAAACATGCCAGGCATGTGTATGTGCGTGTCCAAAATCCTAAGAGGAGAATGGGAAAGAAAGGCTTGCACTTCTGGCCAGCATATATGCCCCACAGCAAAATAACAACAAAAACTCCTAAAAGTGGGAACCAGCAGTTAGCGTAATGGCTATGTCGCTGGACTCCCACGTAGTCGACCGCGGTTCGCGTCCTGGACCAGGTGGCTTAAAACTCACGCCGGGCGCGTGTGCGTGCGTGCCCAAGATCCCGAGAGGAGAATGGAGGAGAAGGGATTGTGGCGTGACCATACCCCCTGGGGGGTGATTTCTCGCTTTCTGTCTCTCTGTCTCTCTCTTGTCTGTCTGGTGAGCGCACGCGTCCTATAGCGAAAACCTCTCAAAAAAACCCCAAAAAAACCCCCAAAAACAACAATAATAAAAAAACAACTCCCCGGGAACCAGCAGTTAGCGTAATGGCTATGTCGCTGGACTCCCACGTAGTCGACCGCGGTTCGCGTCCTGGACCAGGTGGCTTAAAACTCACGCCGGGCGCGTGTGCGTGTGTGCCCAAGATCCCAAGAGGAGAATGGAGAAGAAGGGATTGCGGCGTGACCATCCCCCCTGGGGGGTGATTTCTCGCTTTCTGTCTCTATGTCTCTCTCTGTCTGTCTGGCGAGCGCACGTGCCCTATAGCGAAAACCTCTAAAAAAAAAAAAAAAAAAAAAAAAACAACTCCTAAAAGTCAGAAAAACAGAAACAGCATAATTAGAAAAATGGCAAAAGGCTACATGGTGACTTTACAAAAAAATTACTTCTGGCCGAATAGCTATGAAAACATATTCTACCTCAGGGAGCTGCAGATAAAATCAAGACAACGTCTACCGTCTGTCAGATGGATGAGGCTGGACAGCGTACTTGTCCTGGGGCAGGGTGTCAGAAAGTAGAGAACAGAGCCAGGCACTGACAGAGCGCCTAAGGGCGCATAACCACAGAGAGGAAAACCTGGGACGTCACATCAATTTTTAAGTCTGCATGCCCTTTGACTCAGCTATTTGATGTTCCTTTAGCAATTTACCCTACCAGACCAATACGTAGTAAAGCGGTTAAGGTGCTGGACTCTCACATGGCAGACTATGATTTGCGTCCCGGATGTGGTGGCTTGAAATTATGCTAGCTGGGACCAGCAGTTAGCATAATGGCTATGTCGCTGGACTCCCACTCGTGGTTCGAGTCCCGGACCTGGTGGCTTAAACTCACGCCGGGCGCGTGTGTGTGCATGTCCAAGATCCTGAGAGGAGAATGGAGGAGAAGGGATTGCAGCATCTCGCTTTCTATCTCTCTGTCTCTTTCTGGCAAGCGCACGGGCCCTATTGCAAAAACAAAAACAAAAAATCTCAAAAAAAAAAATTATGCTAGCTGCATATGTATAAGTGCCCAATATCTGAGGAGAACAGAGGAGAAGGTACTGCAGTGTGGTCATCATGCATGCACACACACACACGCACACACACCCTGTAGTGATTTCTCACTTTCCTTCTCAATATCTCTCTCTGGCAAGGGCATGTGCCCCATGGCAGAAACCTTATTATTATTTTTTTTAATCTTACAAACACACTAGCCCAAAAGGCAAAGATATCATCAGTACGTGGGTGTTCACTAATATATAACAAAATGCCAGAAATGAAGCAAGTGTCTATTAACAGAAAATGGTAGGACCAACAGAGGGTGCAATGGCTACATTGCTGGACTCTCATGTAGTCAACCACGGTTTTAGTCCTGGACCCAGTGGCTTAAAGTCATGCTGGGCGCGTGTGCGTGCATGCCCAAGATCCTGAGAGGAGAATGGAGAAGGGATTGCGGCGTGGTCATCCCTTCTGGGGGGTGATTTCTCGCTTTCTGTCTCTCTGTCTCTCTTTCTGGCAAGTGCACGCACCCTATAGCAAAAATCTCTCTCAAAAAAATAAATAAATAAATAAATAAAGCAGTAAATGGTTAAACAGAATACCAAGCAGCAATTTTAAAAATGAACTAGTCAAAATGAATGAGGCTGTACCGGTAAAGGAAAAATGCTACAGTCATGCTGTAAAGGGGCGGGAGAAGCAGGCTACAGATGATCGAGAGAGTAAGGGTAAGAGACTACAAAGCAACGTGTGTGTGTGTGTGTGTGTGCGCACGCGCATGCGTACCTGTGTGGTCCTGCCACCCCATGCCAATGTCAAGGAAATAAACAGAAGTAGTAAGAAACTGCAGCAGAATGATTTCTTTCTTTAAGTTTTTCTTTTTATAAACCCTTGTTTTTCTTTTTTAATTAATTAATTTATTTTTTAAGAATTCTTTTATTTGGGGATCAGCAGGTGGCATGGTGGCTAAGGTGCTGGACACTCCCACATGGCTAACCACGGTTCGAGTCCCAGACCTGGTGGCTTGCGTTCTCACTTTCTCTCTCTCTGTCTCTCTCTGGTCAAATTAAAATAAGTGAAAGAATAAATAAAATTAAATAAATAAATCTTTAAAAAAAAGAATTCTTTTATTTAACTTTATTTATTTATTTATTTTTGATATGACCAGAGAGGGACAGTGAGAGAGAGAGGGACAGCGAGAAAGCAAGCTGCCAGGTCTGGTACTTGAACTGTGGCCAGCCATGTGGGAGTCCAGCACCCTTAACCACCATGCCTCC